GCCCCAAGACAGCCAGAAGCAATTCTAGAAAGTGCTGTACCCTCTCTCAACAAGTTTGTCCTCATGGTTAGAGATACCATTCAGGGGTTGATTATTACTTGCATAGGGTTGGGGTGGAAATTATGTAGTCCTAGAGATTTCAAAAAAAGGGAAGATTGAATGGGATAATAGGTAATTTTTGTGACCTTATTCACACTAATAATAATAATAATGAACAATATAATGAATACTTGTGAGCTATTATTTATGGACAATTTATACTGATATAGTTTCTTGTATATTAATTCAAATTGTATTTGTTATTATTGTTTATAATATTTGTACACCTATGCAAAGTTATTTTGTCATATTGTATGCATGCATGTTTCTACCTCTGTTTAAGACATTTGTATATTGATACAATTTTAGGATACATTTTTCATATTACATTATATAGTTCTACCTCTGATTAAGATGTTTGTACACTGTTTACATTTTAATGTCATTGTCTTTTATTACTGCACAGTTGTTTAAAGGTTGTTTAATATTCTGATATGAAGTCTTAATGTTTAAGTTATATAGGTATTAAGACTTCATATCAGAATATTAAACCCCCACATGGTATTGGCACAAAAATAGGCACATTTATCAATCAAATCAAATAAAACCCCAGAGATAAATCAATACACCCATGTACACCTGATTTTTGATAAAGAAGTCAGAAATACACAATAGAAAAAGAAAACATCTTCAAAAATGGTGCTATCAACCTATATTTTTTCAAGTACAAGAATACAAATAGATTCATATTAAATGATCAAACATCTCAACATAAAATAAGATGCACTGAACTTGATAGAAGAGTAAGTGCAAAATATCCTTGAAGGTATTGGCACAGGAGACAGTATCCTGAAATGATGGCACTGATAGCACAGGATTAAGATCAACAATTAATAAATTGGACCTCATGAAACTGAAAAGCTTCTGTAAGGCAAATGACTCTGTCAATAGGACAAAATGGGAAAAGATTTTCACTAATTCCACATTTGGCATGGCTAATATATATATGGAATACACAAAATTGACATCATCAAACCTAATAATCTAATTAAAATGGGGAACAGGTTTTGGCTATTACAAATAAAGTTGCTTTGAATATAATATAATTGAGCAAGTGTTCTTGTGGTATGACTGAGCAAACTTTGTGTACATGCTCAAAAGTTGGGTCTTGTGGCAGATTGGTTCTTAATTTTCTGAGTAACCACAATATTGATTTCTAAAGTGATTGTATAAGTTTGTGCTTTCACCATCAGTGAAGGAGTGTTCCCTTTACTCTACATCCCCTCCAGCATGAGCTGTCACTTGTGTTTTTGATCTTAGCCATTCTGACTGATGCAAGATGGTATCTCAGACTTGTTTTGATTTGCATTTCTCTGATGGCTACCTCTGCTATTTTCTGATGAGAAATGGAGGAGAAGTGGATTTAAGAGAGAGAGGAGGTGGGGAGGGAGCTAGGAGAAGTGGAGGGACAGGAAACTATGGTCAGAATGCATTGTATGAGAGAAGAATAAAAAGAACAACAACAACAAAGAGCTGGAGACCCAGTGCTAATGGATATATACAGAAATATTTTAACTCCTAATGTTCAGGAAACAGTGCAGAAGAGGGGGGCTATGAGTCTCTTAGAAGTGTCAGAAGCCACACCCATAAAAGTCTCATCAACATGATTCCCTGAACCTGGACTGAAGAAGGACAAAAATAGGCATGTGAAAATGGACAGGGGAAAGCCCACAAGACCTCATCCTCTCACAAAGAACTGTACGTAAGTAAGAAATGCTGAAGGCTGGAGAAATAGTTTTTCCAAGGGAATAAGACACCAGCTGCTTATTCAATAAGAAATGCCAGCCTTGAATACATATAAGTAAAATTATACTTGCTGAACAGGTTATATCTAGGGATGTACATGTATATTACCAAACACTTATTCATACAGTAATATTAATAGAAAAAGAATCTGTGAATTTGAAAGAAAGATGTTGAAAAAGAGCAAGCAGGGATGTATAGAAAGTTTGTGGGGTGGGGAGAAAAATGTTGTAATTATATTATAAACTCAAAAATAAGAGAAAATAAAAATACTTAAAATTCTATCGGTTTAATTGTGTCATGGTGAAGGGGCTCATGAAGTCTAACCCCTCCCCAAAGCTATTGGAACTTAATGGTTGTTAGGGGATGGGTACCATTTCATCAGTTGTGTAGCCACAGATAAGGTGCCATTGCTCAACTAAATTACCTTCCACCTATACTATGGAATGACCTATTAAACTCAGTGGACCACAGAATAAAATATGAAAGTAGGAGGGGAATGCATGAAGTGCTCCAATGCAAGAAGAAGAATGGGGGAGGACAATGGGAATAAAAATAACTAAAATTAATGTTATAATGTAAGGAACTTTCAAACAATTAAAAATATTATGAGCTCACGCGATGATTTGTATGCTAAGCTGTATTAAAAATGAATATAAGGGTATTATTCTAGGACTTCTATGATAAAGACTCACAAACTTAGTGGCTTAGTCAGAGAAACCCCTTTATCATAGACCCAGGGCACTCAAATCCATTATCAGTGTGTTAGTAGATATGATTCATTTTCCTGATTTTGTGGGAGAATCTCACGTGTGCTCTTCTAGCTTCTGATAGTTTGATGGAAACATGCATTTCTAGGGGCAACACCTTGATCTCTGTCTTGTTCATGAGGCTCATGTTTCTCTCTCTGTCTCTGTCTTTCTCTCTGTTGTTTTTTATTTAGATAAGGACTTAATTATACTCTACTACCATTATCATTTTGACTCTGTTTCAAAATAATGCCACATACTTAGGCCCAGCCTCTGTTTGTATCACAATATGCCATTTCACACTATCAGGAATGTAACTAGGCACATACTTTCACAAATTCTGTGTATTCTCTAACCATGAACACATGAAATGAAAGCGTTACTTTAATCACACACTTACTTAAAGCACATGATTATCAACACTTCTGCATATATACACATATGCTCACATATAAGCCAATGCCTTTCATGTTTATAGGCATACCTCTCATAGTCATAAATAAATAGATGCGAAGTATCAATAAACTTTCATGGTGAACGTAATATGCCTAAATGAGAACTATAAATACTTTAACAGAAAATGTAAGTATTAACACAAGCTCATTTATGTAGTCCAAGAACACATTTAAATATGTCTTTGTTCTTGTACACAGACAAGAGGGGTTAATGCTTCCACCTTTAGTTTCTAGTCTCAGAGGGAGTCATTGTGAATATAAGACAGTAGATATATAGAGAGGGAAAGAACCAGTGCTTGGGAAACAGACCACACAATTCTTTAAATAGACCTTGACCTGATGTCTCTACACAAGGCTGAATCCCAGGGGTTTGTCAGAACTTATAGTTATAGTCAGCTTGTGCAAAGATATAGCAGATCTCAGGAGGAGTTATTCCTTTCATCTCAGGCATCTTTTCCTTTTCAAAAATCAGTGGGAGACGTGGATTCTTCAAGTATCAAGAAGGCAAAGTCATGTACTATATTAAAGTCCTGACTTGATGGGAACACCCCATCTAGAAATCGAAGACCACTGAGTCACAATCTGAGATGGGATGAGGAATCATGGCTTCCATTGTGTCAGACCTAGAAAGGTAGGAAGATGCCCTCCAGACAGAAGCTCTCCAGCAGCAGACTGATTCTGAACCTCCCATGTTCTACATTTAGGTTCAGATATTCCAGTCAGAATCAAATTTTTATTACCCTTTCTGAAATGTTTGACAAGCAATAACTTATTTCACCCTCTATTGTGAAGGATTAAAGAGTATGATGGTAATAGTTACATCCTATAAATTTAAGAATAATGTATGCTGTAGAAGAATAGAAGATGGAATATTTGGCAAGAAGGACATTATGTGTACTTTTTCTCTTGTCTAAGGAATGCATAGCTCCATCTCTCAAACAAAAGCAGTTGATAAATTGTTCTCTTCATAGTGAAATTCTTTCACATGCAGAAAAAAATGACAAAGGATCAGCAAACTTCCTGTCCATTAGTCACAGCTTGTACTTGTAAATATTCATGTGTTCAGTTTCTAAGAACAAAAGTGAAACAGAGGGCATTTCTAAATGTGAGGGCCGTAAATTCCATAGAGTATGGAGGGAAAAAGTAAGGGAGAAACAGACACCTGATGAGGAACACAGCTCCATTTTAATCGCAGTTCAGAAGTCTTTTCTGTTACTTTATTGCTCCTCAACAATATGAACACTGAGTGTGTAAAGTCAGACCAGACAGAATGGAATGAGAAAGACTGGGAATTCAGGGTCTCTAAAAAAATTCAAATAGAGGGGAAGAGGAGAACTGGATTTTCAATTAAACCATGCAGCGTGGTGGAGGGTGTCCTATTTCCTAACTGTGTGAATTAAGTGTGTCCTTACTAAGGCTATCTAGAAGAAGCCAGTAAGAATGTAATCTCAAGCCTGTCATGTGATATATTCCTAAAATACCAGTATTAGGGCGTATTAGGCCAGCTATGCTATATAGTATGAAGGAAGGGGGAATGGAGAGACAGGAGAGAAAGAAGAGAAGAGAAGGAAGGGAGGAAGGAAGGAAGAAAGGGAGGAAGAAGGAAGGAAGGAAAGAAGGAAGAAAGGTAGAATATAGAGAAAGCAATACATTCCCAGAGACACTAAAATCTCAATCTAGATCTTGGTCCAGGGAAGTAGCAACAATCCTAAGTACAAATTCTCCAATTTAATATATTGTCTAAGCAGCCTACATATCAGCTATTGTCATAACTGATCAATAATTTTTCTGACTCATCTGGAGCAGGATTCTCAACTACTCATTGCCAGCAACGACCCTATTGTGTGCCTCTAGAAGCCCTGGTCCAAGAGTCATGTACTATGACAATGATTTTATTATGTGACCATAAGATATCATTTAATGACTCAGCTCTTATTGTTTCTCATAGAAAATGATGGCAGAAATTTTACGTAAGTTAGAAAAACTAAACTTTAAGGGGCTTTCATGAAGGGTCTCAAAATTCAACTCCCTCACAGTTACTCAGAGGTAACTATGTACATTGGGACCTTTAGCACCTAATCCAGTGCCTGGGGGTGAGAATAAAGATGATCTGAATATGATTGTTTAAATCACCATTAATGTTAGTGACGGTCCTCATCAAGTGAGAGTGACATACTGGACAGGTAGGTAATGCTGAAGCTCCTGGTTTAAACAGAAAATGTACTACTGTTTGAGGGGATTGAATCTGGTAAAAGGAAGCAAGGGAGAGGCCCTCAGTCCCAGATAAAGTGAGTATCTGAATTGTCACTAGGGAGTTCATTGGAATATTTGCCTGGGCAATCTCATGATTATTAGCCAGGAAAGTTGGTAGGCTTTCTGGTGTAGAGAAGACTTCGACATTCCTTTCAACCATTATAAAGGAAGGGGACTAAGAAGACATAAAACTTAAATCAAACTTTGAAGAAACCTGTTTAGGATTCTTGATGCTTATAAAATGAAACATTTGTTAGCTTGCAAAGATTTGTTAAGCAAGCCTATGAGGACACTGTTTTCACCTGAAGGTTTCTGTTATGAAAGAGGTAAAAACTGAAACTCTTAAACCCAAGCACAAGGCAGCAAAGACAAAGTGAAAAGATGTTGCGTAAGAACCAAGTTATATGTATTCTACCTCTTAGCTGTTTTTTTTTTTGTGTGTGTGTGCATGTGTGTTTGTGTGTGTTGCGGGGGGCAAGTTACTTTCTTTGGAGAGCTCAGACATCAAAAACCAAGCAATATTAAAGCAAGTACAGATACAAGCTGCCACTCAAAACCTTCTCCCACAGCTTCTAGTATCAGAAATTACTATAAGTCTAAGGAGAATTTTTAAAGTAGGGTTTTGGGAATTCCATCAGGAAAGTTTCCAGTTGAGGATATTGTTAATGAGTCTATTGCATCTGAATAATAGTCTTTACTAGTTACTTTCATCAAAATACATTTATCTGATTTCTCTTTATCAAGAATAGAGGTGGTAAGCTGACTGTCAGGTTTAGGGTCATCTTCACTAGGACATCCTTGAATAAATTACACTATGTAAACCAAATCCATGTTGTGGATTGCAGTTAGTAAGCAAATCTGTGTTGGAATATAGCTGAAGACATGCACTAACATGTGGCCCATGCCTACTTTTACACTTTAACAGAGAAAGGCACTAATTTAAAAAGAAAATGAATCAATCACAAAGCATAAGATATTCATGTTCTAAGATTTTCATTAAATATGACGTTATAAATGCCAACTTCACAGATGGTTTATCCTTTCCTTTGGCCTAGAACCAAGATGATTATTGTCTTAATTATTCAAATATATTGGGAGAATAAATTACTATGCTCCTTTAATCCACACTTGCCTCCTGCCCTGAACTACTGCTGCTCAAATGATTCAACACAGAGACAAATGGGCCTGTGTGGAAGGTAGACCAAGTCATTTGCTAAATGGAAGATGGCAAGGTTTAATGTAGCTGATTTGTCACAGAAGTTTGCCCTTAGTGGATTCTACTTCTGAGAATACTTTTTCTTTAGGAAATAATTACCCTTGAAACTGACATATTCTAATATCATTTTGAGTGTTACAGATACTAATAAAATATTAAGTAGCATAATTTTATGTTATAATATTATTTATTATAAATGATGATTTTATTACAAATGACTATAGAATTTATTCATAATATTTTACGAGAGCAAATAATCATCCTTGCTTGGCTGTTATTATCCTCAGAGAACAGATTAATTTCACTACACAGAAAATATAACCTATTCTTTCGTGTTGGCTTCAAGGAACAGCTCTTCTCATTCTACGTTCTTCATCTTGCTTGGAATCCCAGGGCTGGAGAATTATCAATTTTGGGTTGCCTTTCCATTCTGTGTCATGTATATTTTGGCAGTGACTGGGAATGTCACCATCCTACACATAATTCGGATTGACCACACGCTACATGAGCCCATGTACCTCTTCCTGGCCATGCTGGCTACCACTGACCTGGTCCTATCCTCTTCCACACAACCTAAAATGCTGGCCATACTCTGGTTTCATGACCATAAGATTGAATACCATGCCTGCCTCATTCAGGTGTTCTTCATACATGCCTTTTCTTCTGTGGAGTCTGGGGTGCTCATGGCTATGGCCTTGGACCGCTACGTGGCCATCTGCTTCCCACTCCGACATTCCAGCATTCTGACCATGTCTGTAGTCATCAAACTGGGGACAGCTGTGATGGTCAGAGGGCTGCTGTGGGTGAGCCCCTTCTGCTTCATGATCTCCAGGATGCCCTTCTGTCCCAACAAGGTCATTCCCCAGTCCTACTGTGAGCACATGGCTGTGCTCAAGTTGGTGTGTGCTGATACCAAAATCAATCGTGGATATGGGCTCTTTGTGGCTTTTTCTGTGGTTGGCTTTGATATAATTGTCATCGGTGTATCTTATGTGATGATTCTGAGAGCTGTGCTGAGGTTGCCCTCAGGTGAAGCCCGCCTCAAAGCTTTTGGTACATGTGCTTCTCATATTGGTGTCATCTTAGCCTTATATATTCCAGCCCTTTTCACCTTCCTTACCCACCGATTTGGCCACCATGTGCCCCGTGTTGTGCACATCATGTTTGCTAATGTCTACCTGCTGGTTCCTCCCATGCTCAACCCCATCATCTATGGAGTCAGAACCAAACAGATCAGGGACAGAGTTATCCAAGGATGTTGTAGAAAAGGCCCTTGAACCAGTGACCACAGCAACCATGCTTCAGTTACCCATACTGAGGTATCCACAGAGATGAGGAACAGTTCCCAGGCTCTGACCTACCATTGCAAAGCCATCCCTATGGCTTATGTGCAGGATGAAAATTTTCCAGAACAAGAAAGAATGAATTTTATGGTAACCACAACTAGAGATCTGAGAGGTGTGATGTATTATACAGAAATAGTTAATGTATATTTTTCATGAAAGAATATTTTACACAAACTTCATTTACTGATATCATCAGTTCTGTGTTCAAGTTGATATTACACCATATATCACAATGTTTTTTGGAAAAGGAAAAGTCACTGTGGATATTTATGGAAAAGTTTAATTATAGTCATTTTTACAATGATTTCTTATTCAGCTCTTTATTCATGTCAGAACTTTTGCCCCTTAGACTATGTCATTGATTTCAAAGTTTGGAAACTTTTCACTCATTAAATCAGTAATTATTTTACCAGATTGTCATTGTTTAAATAGACAGTCATACAGTTTTAAAGAAGCTAGACATTTCATCACACAGTTAAAAATATACACATTTCTGCCATGTGGTAATCTCTTCATTATAAGATATCCTTTTTAAATTGATATACATTTAAAGTACTTCTTGAATACTGATATATAAAATAAGTAGGGAACATACTAAACATCCTGTAGCAACTGAGTGTGTGTTACATGCCAATAACACGGCATCACAGACCCGGAGGCAGAAACATTTGAGGTCAGTCTGGACTATATAGAAAAACATTATCTCAATAAAATAAAACAAAAGAAAAGAGGAGGGGAAAAAAAGAGGTAAGGAGGCAGAAGGAGGGGAAAAGAAGAGGGAAATGGAAGGGAGACTGAGAAGGAAGGAGAGAAGAAAATGAGGGGAAGAGGAAAATGAATGAAACCATGGGAAGAAATGCAATTTAATACTAAGTTTTATTTTATTTATTATAGAATGTAAAGAATTACTGATATGCTATTAAGTTTTAGAGAAAATAAATTTGATTTCCTTAATTCTCGATGCTAGTTATAAATAAATACATATGATTATGTGTTTATTTAATAAAAACTCCTATATGCTAATAATATTCACTGTTTTTCAAAAGGCTTATAACCTTCTAGTTTTCCTTTTCGCAATAGCAGTTTTAAAAACTTATTTTTAGTTCTTGAAGTTTAATTTTGCTATTAAAATAATTAAGATAAGGTTCACATAATCCTGCTATATAGACATACAAAAGAGGTATATAAAATAAACATTTCACTAATAATAAATTACAAAGATGTTTATTTTAAGACAGTTTTTTGATATACATGAAATTTTGCTACTGATTAAAGACAAGAGAATTTTTACATTCTAAATTCTAAAAAAGGGCACTTGGTTCAATTTTTGGCATTACTGAAAGTCTATGGGAACTGATGGGACCCATAAAGGGACATTATGTCATTTGGTGTGACATTTCATTGGGAGTCCCAGCTTATTTCTCTTGGCTTCTAAGCTGGCATGAAATGAACAGGCCTCCAGTAGACCCTCTTACCATGATGAATTGGCTCAAAGCAACACAACCAAGTGAGCAGAACCTGACCCCTGTATCCACTTGCCAAAGTAGGACTTTCTTCTTCTTTAGTTGTATCCCAGGTAACTTGTTACAATGATAAAAAACCTGATGAGAAAAAAGCAATCTCCCTCCCTCTCTCTCTCTCTCTCTCTCTCTCTCTCTCTCTCTCTCTCTCACACACACACACACACACACACACACACACACACACACACAACACAACACACTAAGGAATTTTAGGTGTGTATTTTTTTCTATGTAGCCTGAAGTCTAGAGGATAGGGATTCATTCTCAAGTGGCAGGAAACACCAGACTGACTACTCAAAAGCGAGAATAGTATATTGACCAGTGATAATGTATTGAGCATCCATAGATGTGAGGGAAAATAGACCATGCATTGGACTCAGATTTTATCTTCTAGTTAGGAGAAATAGATGTGAAAACAATACAAATGCAATATATGTGGTCCCACTCATAGAGTGAGAAAATTTTTACTCTGGCAATAGAGTAAAATAAGTGAAAAATTATAAAAGAAACCCAGAAATGTTATTTAAAATAATAGCCACTTGAAAATTGTAACCATTCCACGTCTTATAGAAAATAGTTTTAATTCATCAGATATATAAAAGTGGGAAGGACATGTGTCAGCATTTGCAAAGACATGAATCATGGGAGTTCCAAAAGAAACAGTAAAGTGGTTACAGACAGACAAAGATCCAGCAAAGCCTAACACAGTGGCTGTGTTCTGAGGAGCTTGCGTTAAGTTTACACATAATGAAGATATCCCTCATTGTTTCCACCAAGAAATCGTGAGCGAGGGCATCATGATGGAATTTTTCAGAAATCTTCAGTTTCAGGAAAATGAAAAGAAATTCTTAAAAGGGATCTGAATTTTGCCAAGCAATCTGTCTATTTTCCAGGTGGATCTACGCATGTTTTTCTTAGGGTTCACCTTGTTACTTAGCTTCTCTAGGATCATGAACTATAGGCTCAATACCCTTTGCTTTACAGCTAGTATCCATTTCTGAGTGAGTATATACCATGTTCATCTTTCACTCAGAATGTTTTTTCCTAGTTCCATCCATTTGCATGCAAATTTTAAGATGTCATTTTTTTTTTTTACTGCCAAGTAGTACTCTAATGTTCAAATACCACATTTTCTTTATCCATTCTTCGATTGAGGGATATTTATTTTAAGCATCCTTCTTCATCTGGTGTCAAAGTGGAGGATTCAGACTCTACAACCTACCAGGTGGACAGACTAAAGGCCTAACCAGTTTATAGCCCAGAATGTCTCCCAACCCTGCCCACTTGGATTGATTTTAACTAAGCAGTTATTTTTGTTTTTTGTAAAACTCCCACCACAGCAGAACTAATTATGTGCTGTGACTTGGAAATTTCCCATAGCTTGTGAACATTCCCTCCCTCACTGCTGCATTCCTTGCTGCATGGCAACTTATGCAGCTTCTAGTTTGTGCTACCTGCCCATGAGTTCTGGACTTCTTGCATGGAATTGATTTAATTGCTTTTAATTTGTCAAGCAAAGCATATTTCCCAGTATTTAACCAGTATCAAGTTGGGAAACTAAAGCAGCTCAGGACCATTCATGTTGCCACCAGTTGCCTTGCTGTTAGTTGTGACTCTGCAACCACAACACCTCCTGGAAAGTAAAGATTATTATACCTAAAACAATTTACTGGATCTCATAACAGGTAATTAATAAATCAATAAACTTGAAAGTTATATAATGGCAGACTATATTTACATTAGAACTTTTAGTAGCATTTTGCTAATACTATGGATTGTATTCTGCAAGGTTTATATGGTGATACATCCATTTATTGGATATTGGGACTCAGTTTTTTTCTTCATATTATATACTCAAGAAAACAATTTGATAACAGAGCTAAGAATTAGGTACTTTTACAAATGATGCAGTCTTTATAGACGAATAAAAAACAGCTTGCTAACCAGATTAATACCATTGAAAATCAAAAGTTACCTGAAAAAAATTAGTACTATTGAAAAGGGTAACATTAATTTGACAGACAAAATTGAATCCATATCTAAGGATACTGAGAAAATATCTGAGTTTATGCTGCTGAATTTGATAATCAAAATTTGTTAAATAGTTATGATAAGTTAGTAGATAGAGTATCTCCCCAGGATGGCTATCTGCATGCTGTTCAAGTAATGTTCTAGGATGTGGTGTTATTTTTAAAAGAAAAACTTCAGACTGTGGAATCACATGTGCAGAATGAGAACCAGAGGTCAGGTGACTCAATGAAATTGGTAGAAATATATACAGGCCAGTGATTCAGGCTTTACAAAATATAATAGTAAAAAGATTTGAAATGATTTAGGAAATTATTGGAGCTGATGAACAAGGAAAGAAGGCACAAGGGCAGGATTCAACATTGCCAGTAGCTGCCAGAGATGACTTACACAGGGTTTTATCTTTCTACCTGTAATCTACTCTGACAAAGCATCATGTTCTAAAGACCCAAAAGGATCCAAAAAAGGTAGATTGATACCTATAGAAATAAATGATCTAAAAGAAATTAAACAAGCTGTCATAATTTATGGCTTGTATTCTACATTTGTTAGGGAGATGATAAAGACATGGGCTTCTAACACTAAGGCTAGACCACATGACTAGCTTCAGTTAGTTTCAACAATCCTGGATGATAAGCCTCAATTGATATTTAAATGTTATTTCAGGGAAGAGGCAAAAATTTTAGAACAACAGGGGAAAGCAAAAGGACTTGAGACTTCCGAGGTCAGATTCTTGGTGAGGGCACTTATGCTGACCCACAGGTTCAAAGTCCTTACAATGAACAAATTTTGTCCTTATGCCACAAAGCAGCCTTAAATGCTTGGGACAAGATTTAAGAACTAGGAAAACAAATTGAAACACATACAAGGGTTAAACAGGATCAGAGCGAACCCTTTAGTGACCTTTTCAAAGATTAACTAAGGCTGTACAAATAGGAGTAACAGACCCAGATGTTAGACAAGCGCTTATGAATTTCTGGCTTTTGAAAATGTAACTTAGAATGCAAAAAGATACTTGGGTCTTTAAAAGTGAGATCAGCACCTACAGATGAATGGATTCTGCATATAATGAACATTGAGATATATGACTATAATACTGAATTCTGGGTAGGAGAAACAATTTCCACAGGAATGAAGAGAGAGCAAAATACCAAATGTTTTAATTGTGGTAGAATAAAACATCTGAGAATGGATTGTATTATTTCTAGGAATAATATCTCCTCTGGGAATGGCAAGAATAGGAGGACTCTGCCTTCAGGTATATGTAGAAGGTGTGGCAAAGGCTGTCATTGGACCAATGAATACAGATCAACAAAACATAGACAAGGAAACCTGATACCATCAAGAAACTCCTTAAGGGGCCTCTTAAAGGCCCCCCAA